TCTTTTTTAAACTTCAGACAATACTATAAACCTGTTGTAACCAAATCAATATGATCCTTACATGAAACTGCACCAATAAGAGAATCCAGAAGTAAATTCCAGTTTGGGATTCCAGATCTACAATATGTGAGAATTAAATAAACGTCAAAGGTGCTATTTTAGGAAGAGTTTGGATTAATTGTGTTCTGACAACTGGCTCTTTATTTGGAAAAAATAAAATAAAATTGGATGCCTATCTTATACCACATAGATAAATAAATTCCAGATACGTTAAGACTTACATGTGGAAAGTGAAACTGTAAGATTCCTGCAAGAAATTCCTAAAAACTTTGATGACAATAATTGGGCACTCAAAGCTATTCTTGACCGTAGAAAACTTAAGCGCTTTTATATGACAAGAGAAACCATAAAGAAAGCCAGGAGACAAAGAGTGCATCTGGATTAAAGACAGAGTTGGTATCTGTTATACTCCAAGTACTCTTAAAAAGTGGATAAACCACAAGTAGAAAATGGACAAAGGACCTGACTAGACCGTTCACAGAATTGCAAACCCAAATGTCCAACAAATATATAAAAACACGCTGACACGTGTTGGTAGTCAGGGAAATGTAAGTTTCCTTTTAGGTAAGAATTAATATCTTTAATTTTTTAGCCTGGAGGATATTAAATGTAACACCCAGTGCTGCTGGGGAAGCAGGGACATGATTACTGTTGTCCTTCAGGAAGGGAAAGGTAAATGATTGGAAACTTTTTTGGAAACCACTGAGCAAACGTCTTGTAAAATTTAACATGTATCTTTTTACCCTGCAACCCTATTTCTGGGAATCCTTCCCACAGAAATAAAAGATAAAGGTATCTTTGTTATGATACATTACGGACGTTTATTACGTAATGTGTGCGGAAACAAAGGAATACCTATCTGTAAGGCGAATGGCTGAAAAAATACGGAGCCTCCGTATTATGAATCACTGTGTGGGGGGACAAATACTGCTTTAGTGTCAAACCCAGGGGACGTGTGAAGAATCCCATGATGTATTGTTTTGCGAGAAAAATACGAAGAAAAATTTGTTTCTATAAAACAGAGAATGGGGACGCATGGGTGGCTCCCTCGGTTAAGCATCCGACTTCGTCTCAGGTCATGATCTCACAGTTTGTGAGTTGGAGCCTTGCATCGAGCCCTGTGCTGACAGCTCAGAGCCTGGAGCCTGCTTCAGATTCTGTGTCTCCCTCTCTCTCTGCCCCTCCCCTGCTCATGCGCTCTCTCACTCTCTCTCTCTCTCTCTCTCTCTCTCAAAAATAAGTAAACATTAAAAAGAATTTAAAAAACAACGACAACAAAGAATGATCTATGTGTGTGGTGTGTTAAAGCAGGGTGAGAATATGATAGGTCCTACTGGGGGGTTGGCCACTGGTGAAGGGGGGACGATGTGAAGTGGGTAGAAAGTCCCGTAAAAAAGGAAAAGAAGCAGTAAGGACGGTAACATGAAGCACGCGTGAAAGCACATATAAGCGGAACAACGGGGGTGGGTGGACGTACAGCTGTGCACGGGTTCTGAGATGTTGGCTGGGAGCACCTCCCTTAAACAGATAACTTGTATTATTGTGAGAGGGCCGAGTGCCAGCCCTCTCGATCCTCTTATCCTTGAAATCTGGAGGAGGTTGAGACCCCCAGGGCCATTTTCCTTTCTGCTCCAGGGTGAACGAGGATCATGGGAGTTTTGTGGGCCTTATTCCACCACATCTCTGATTGTTTTATCCTAATAGATTTGGAAAAGGCTTATTTATCTGGACTCGGGCTCCGGGTAGCTGGTGACACAGAGCTCTCAGAGACACGCATCCAGTTCCCACGGGCCTGAGAGTTTGCTGGCTTTGTAGGCAGGGATTTGCTCGGTGCTGATGCTGAGCAGTGAGTGACCCGGCCTGTGACCTCTTCCCAGAACCACGTAAGAGAATGGCCTTCCTTTCCGGGCTGAAATGGCATGCCGAGTCCCAATTTCTTCTTTAGGATCTGGCTTTCTCTTTCCCAGACACAGTCAGGAGCGTGCCAGTCCCCTGTAGATTACAGGTAAGGGTCGTGGTCTCATCAGGCACCAGGAGCCCCGTTGTCATGGCAGGTTGCTCTGTCTCCTTCCCAGCCTCGTCTTGTGCCACGTCCTCAGCCAGCCACCGTGCCGGAAGTCTCAGGAGTCCTCACCCCACCCCCGAACGTGCCACCTGTGTTCCTACCTGAAGCTTGGCGAGGGGTGCTCGTTTGACGGGAGTGTTCCCTTCTGCACCCCTCTCCCCGGCCTCCCTCTTCATCCCGCCAAATCCTGTAGGTCCAGTACCTTACAGGTCAGGCACTCTTTGGTCCCGGAACCCTTTCCTGACTTTCCCTTCTCCTTCCCCATCATCTCCCCCATGAGTAGTTTCGCAGAGCACCGACTCGTAGGTGTTTATTTATACGCGGGCTGCCTGCCGCCCGTCTCCAGCCCTGCAGTAGACAGAGCTCCTGCGGGTCAGGGACCTGCTGCTTTTCCTCCTCCTTCTATACATATTCCTGGTGCTTATCACGGCGTCTGGCCCATAATTCATTCCCAAGAAATGTCTGTCAGATGAATAAATGGGTGAAGTACTTCGTGCTTCCTGAAATTTGAGTATAAAATCAGGATGGGAAGTTGTAAAATCGTGCCTCGGCGACGCTAACAGGAAGGCACAGCACCCCACAAAGCCACCGAAACCACCGCTCGCTTGACAAAGGAAGGTAGTTGTTAATTGAACGTGGTTTCTTAGCTAATCAGATATTTATGGTGTTGTGTTTCGCGTCCAGTGCATTCGTTTTATGCTGATGGAGTAACAAGTAAAAACGGTCTCTCGTGTATTCTCTTTGTTTGGAGGGTGCCTGGGGAGCTGTGAATCACTGAGGCTCAGGTCTGGACTTGACTGAAAATTAAGTCATCGTTCCGTGGAAGCGAAACACTCGGGAAGGCCAATTTTAATGGCTCGTTGTTCTCCACACAGATTTTCACAGCGTTGCCACCCTTCACCCTGGGAATCTTCGAGAGGTCTTGCACCCAGGAGAGCATGCTCAGGTTCCCACAGCTCTACAAGATCACCCAGAACGCGGAAGGCTTCAACACAAAGGTAAATGACGCTCGCCCACAGTCGTCGCCTCAGAAGCGCGTAAGCAGCGCGCTTCATCTTCCGGCTCTAGTTACCTGCCTGAGAGGTCAGAGAGAACATTTGAGAAGAGTTGAGGACCCAGCCTTCTCCAAAGTATAGCCAGCCGGTGAATTCCAGATGCCGAGTCGGAAAGGAAGCTTCCGCGTTGCACGTTCAGTTCCTGTTTGCTGACTCCTTTGCTCTTGTCCCCGTGTGCCTTTGACATTGATCTGGCCAGCGGCGCCCATGGCCCTGGGTCCTGTGGGATCAGAGACTCCCCTTCCCTTCATAAAGCCCCGCGATGAGGCCGGTGGGGAGCTTCCCTAACGGAGCCTTCTCGCCACCTGTGGCTTGGTTTTTCAGTTAAAAGAAAAGGTTTCTTTAGTCAGTGAGTAGAATTGGCCAGATGTCAACACAGGCCAGATGTCAAGGCAGTGGTGGGTATTTCTTTTTCAGCCTGGAGAATCAACCAGAAGAGACAAGGCATCTAGACCTAAAAGATGCCTAAAAGGCACCTAGACCTAAGCAGTCCTGCAGAGGGCCGAGCGGAAGCTGGGTTAGGCTAGGTGTTGCCGGGATTCTGCCATCAAGCCTGGCAAAGGGGACCTCCCAGGGTCTGCCAGTCACAGCTAAGCAGCCGGGTGGTTGAGTCTCACTGGCCAGAAAGGAAGACCTGTGCCTGGTTTGGTGCAGGATGCCTCCTTTGCCATGTTTCTGTCTTAGATTTTTGTGCAGGAGGTGATTAGGGGGTTGAAACAGAGGTTCATTTTAACATTTTAACAGCGGTCAGTTAAAATACAGGACGCTGGTTGTGTGCATGATTTGCTTGGGTAGCCACCGGGGCCTTGGTAAGGGTGACAGAGGGTGAGACTTATTTGCAGACACCTTGAAGATTTTTTTTTTTTTTTCTTTTGAGGGGATAGGTGAGGAGGTCAGGGAAAGGGCAGGAAAAAAATGAACTTTTCAAATGGGAAAATCCCATTGTCTTATCATTTTTTTTTCATTATTGTCTGTCTCCCCACCACTACTTAGGATCAAACTATAGGACAGTCCCCGGAACAATCTGTAGATGTTTGAATAAACTCAAGCTGGTGTCAGTATGGTAGTTCGGTCATCTCGGTAGTTAAAGAGATCCTCGAAATGCATTTATGAAACTCTGGTTTGGAAGAAACTAAACTTTGCGTTCTCTTGTTTGACCTTTCAAGTGTTAAAGAGTTTTAAACATGCATGATACTAACCAAACTCCTAGGAGTGAGCAAGTTGCACGGGAGGGATTTCAAAAAGCAAAACAAAACAGTGAGAGCGGGGTGTAGGAATCCACATTTAAGGCGTTTTCAGTGTTTTCAAAACATTTCTGTCTCTTGTTAACAATTTTGACCTAATACCCTTCTCTTTCTAGATGATTGTAAAATTGTGTTGTCTTTTTTATGATTACTTAAAAAAAGGATTATAATTCATTTTTTTGGATGTGGACAGATTGTATATTGCTCTATGTATATGGCCATATACGTTCAGGTCTTTGTAGTAAGGTGATATTATCTGGAGATCGTCCAGTCATTTGTACGTAAAAATGAGGAAATAGGTATTTTTTTTTTTTTAACTTCAAGAATAATACGGTGCTTCTGCAGCGACGCAGCACCCTGCCAGTATCCTTCACAATGAGCCGTCTGTTGAGTTGCACAGAGGTCAAGAGTTGTGGGCAGCTCCTGACTCCCTTGGTTTGTTTTCCCTTAGGTTTTCTGGGGTCACTGCATCAACGCCTTGGTCCACTCCCTCATCCTCTTCTGGTTTCCCATGAAGGCGCTGGAGCATGGTAACAGCTTCATGACCTCAACTGTCAGCAAGTAGCTCTGCGGTCCCCCTGGTGCCAGTTGTTCACGATTTTCCCCCCCCGGTTCTGCAGACCTAGAGATCACAAGAACACATTTTAGAAGAAAAACATACCTAAAATCTAATGAGAGCGAGGGCTCAGGTTTATAGCTTGTAGGTTTCATCCATTCTGGCTCCGAGAGCCCGTTTTCTTTCAGTTGCCTGGAGAGTTTAAATGCTAGGAATTCTAAACTTTGTTTTTAATAACCGTTTGAGGCGAGGATCTCGAAGCAAAGCACGGCACTGTAATGAAACACCGATGCCTCCCGTCCACGAGTTGGACATTTTCGGTTAATTACTTGGGCTTTCGTTTTCCACCCTCACGGACCTATATGCAGAGTAACTCAAATCTCGTGAGAGCCTAACCTCACACCCCATTTCCTGAAAGAGTTGCCTTTCCCTGACATACACGTTTCAAGCAAAGTGTTAAGGTTTGAGGACTGATTCCCTCGACCGGGTTTAGTCCTCCCTCCAGCTGGAAGAGGGCATGTGAGAAATGCAGCTGACTCAATATATCCAAAATGTTTCCTCCTAAGGAGAGACACAGCTTTTAGTCCCAGAAAAGGAAAATGTATCATGAGACTGCTTCTCTTTCATCCCTGTCAAATAGTAATAATCCCCCGGGGAAAAATTACTCCAAATGTTGACTAGACAAGGCCTTTTATTGTTCAGAGAACCAAAGAACATAAAGCCTACAAGCCTCTTTGTTTCTGTGTCAATGTGTGTTGTGCTTCAAACAGAAATGATTCATCCTCGCTGATAGTCTTTAGCCTATTAAATACTGACAGTTGGAGAAAATGCATGCACAGCCAATTTATTATACCCTATGACCTGTTCTCTGAGTCTCATCAGACCTCCTTGTCCTGGAAGGGTCCCTAAGTCTCCAGATCAGAAAATAAAATGTCCTGTTTCCAGACCCACCCCCACAAGGGACATTCTAGCAGAATCGTGGCCTTTTAACTCTAAAGCTTTCCTGTGGTTCATTTTTACTCAGAGTAGATCTTCACGTATTTTGAATGAGCAGGGGTTCCAAAGAGTGCTGAATGTGGTTTGTTGTAGAAGCCCTGCCAATTTGGTGATAGAAGCAGCCATCACTGTGTCAGGACGGACTAGCAATGGGAACAATTTTGGGGGGGGGGGCGCCTGGGTGGCTCAGTTGGTCAAGCATCCGACCCTTGATTTGGGCTCAGGTCATGACCTTGCGGTTTGTGAGATCGAGCCCCACGTCAGGCTCTGAACGGACAGCATGGGGCCTACTTGGGATTCCCTCCCTCCCTCCCTCCCTCTGCCCCTCCTCTCTCTCTCTCTCTCTCTCTCTCTCTCTCTCTCAAAATAAGTAAATAGTAAAAACAAACAAGCAAACAATTTTGGCAGTTGTCCCCTTGGCCCACACGCAGGGAGACACAGGGAATGGTGTGGACTGAGCACAATGGCTGTCTCCAGGCCCCTTCCCCTTCTTATCGAGACGTGGCACTCTGGTCCTAACTCCAAAGTGCTTGCCTTGGGACTCTCAGAAGATCTGTAAGATGGTCACGTGCTTGTCTGCTCCCAAAAGAACTAATGTGGCCCATTCTGCGGTAGGGGCAGGGGTTTTCCAATCCTAGAGTTATGATTATGTGCTTTGAGCTTGTGGCTTGTGGTTTGTGGCAGAATTGTTACAGTCAAGCTATAGTCCATTATGTAGATCTATTCGTTCACCTCACGCAGGCCTGTGTTGAAAAGCAGACAGACTCCCGAAAAGTTACTTTACCTGAGAGATAACACCAGGTGAATTTCGGGTTCGTTTCTGCCGCCCTGTCTGCTTCCCTCAAATTTGGCAATTTGCCTAACAGCCAGCCAATAACATGAGTTTTTCCAGTTTGTGTTATCATCACCAATGCCATTATTTCATTGTGTTCAGTAAGCCCGCAGCATGGGGTTTTCTTTTCATTGTGTTGTAAATGTTAACCTATTGAGTGAACCTGTGTAAGACAAAATAAATTGCAAATATTAAGTATGTTTGGCAGAGAATTGTAGGAGGCCATTGGAGTTCTTGTTCGTCAGTTGACTTCCTCTAACAAATGAATATTTTAGAATGAATTTCTTAATTCTCATGATTAATGGGTAGCAAAAATGGTTGTACTGTTGCTCTTTAACCTCATTCCCGTGATGCTGACGTCCAAGGCACTGTGGTGGATGACGAGGGTGACAGGTAAATAAATCAACGTGGGTCTTACCATCAAAGAGTTTGTAGTCTGATAAGGGAGACTGGATTCACACGTGGAAGCTTCTAGTACAAAGTAGAATATTATTGCCTCAAGTAAAATACACCTGGCGTGCTATGGGATTTTAGAGGGCTGAGAGAGAAATGCCTTTCATTTGGAATTGCTAGTGACCTGTTTGAGAGGACAATATTTAGGTTTAGCCTCAAAGTCCAAGCAGGATCGAGACATATAGGCATGAAAGGAAGAGCCGGATACAGTGGGGAATTTCAGGGCTGATGTGGAAAGCTTCGAGGAGCTGATCCCTTCAAGGGTAGAAGACCGGAAAAGGTTTGAGAAGGTGGGTGAAAGCCGGACGGCACAGGGCTTTGCATGCGAGGTGAAGAAGTTGGGACTAAAGATGTTAAGTGAAGAGTCACGTAGAATTTAGATCAAGGAGAGTGTTATGATCAGAGCAGTCTGGGGGGGATGAACGTGTGCTGTCAGATAAGGTGAATTGTAGGAGGAAAACCACTTGTGTCTCCAGGCATCGCAGAGAGCGTTTCAGCAGAGTTAAGCCCAGGAAATGGGAATGTGTTTAAGGAGGAGGGAGCATGTGTTGAGGACTTCTGTATTCGGCAGAACCATGGCGTCTCCCTGATGTGCACCCTGAGAGTGCGCAGATATGAATTCCGCCTCTCTTACCCTCTGGCGGCTTGCAGCAGGTGGGAGCCGATGACCAGCAAGCACGTATGGAACTGCTGAATGGCCAGAGTGCTGAGTGCTACGGGGACACAGCCTAGTCTAGTGGGTCGAGGAAAAGGCTTCTCCAAAGAAATGACATCTATGTTTTTGAAAGTTGAGGAGGGGGTGGCCAAGTGGGGCAGGGGAGGTGTGGGGGAAGGTGGGGAGAAAGAGCATCCCTGGCCCAACCAGGCAAGCACGTGAGCACCCGCACACGGCGTGGACAGTATTTACCGGTGTGGGAGCCGGGGAGGGGGTGGGGACCTGGACTGCAGACTCTGTTCAGCCTCCGATGAGCATTTCAGGATGCTGGACAGTGAATGTCAGGAACCTCCCCTCCTTGTCTCCCAATCCTAATGCAACGATAATAAACCGAAGCACGTCTTCACGTATTTCCAGTGTTCCCTCCGGGGTCAGCAACAGCACCCACGGTCGAGACAGCTACAGCACAGAGGCGGCGGGAGTGGCTGGAAAGGAGGGCAGAGAGGCTGGAAGGGAGGGCAGAGAGGTTAGGTGAGGGTCGCGTCACGAAAACCCGGGTGGGCACTTTTCTCGGTGAGGGGTTGGAGGTGAGAAAACTGCTGTGTAGAAAAACACATGAGGGTTGGCAGGAAGATGAGGGTTTTCTTTGGGCGTGGGTGCGGGTAGGCAGAGGAGAGTCAGTGGTGGAGATTCAGAAAGGTTGCAAGTTTGAGAAGATAGGGACTCTTGCCGGGATTACTGGTTCGTGTGTGCTGATTGGCAGTCTCAAATAGAAATGAGTTCTCGTGACACTTTGAATTTCCGCTTAGAGCAATGTTATCACCCAACCCCCAAAGACACCTGATCTGAGACAAAGTAAGGCACTTCCAAGGCAGCTCGGATCCTGATCTGACAGAGGAGTCCTTCCTTCACCCCCAGGTCCTGCCTGAAGCTGTTCCTTGGACTCCTCCCCACACCCAGGGCCTTAAAGGAGTTTTGCCTGACAGGCTAAGGTCCCTAGAGTATTTCGTTCCTGTCATTGACGCATGCTTCGTGGATTATGTCACAAAGACAGTGGATTTTACTAGGGAGTTCTCTGTCCACCATCCATGAAGAGAGGCACAGGTACATACCAGTGTTGTTCACTTGGGGCACGTAGTTGTTGGGAAGGAATATTTTTGAGAAGGTGTGAGCACGCCATTCATTCCTTAGAAAGGTTCCAGGAATTTTGCTTTGCTTATGTTTGCGTGGTTTTGGATAGACCTTTCAAAGCACTCCTTTGCTGATGGAGTTTGTGAGGACTCATTTCAAGTTTCAAAATAAAATTTTCCACTCCGGCAATTCAGCAAATCAGATTTCTTCCGACCATCACAGCCTTACGCTCAGTCCCGTGGCCCATCTGCAGCTCCCACGCTTTGATGTGAAAAGCGATTCTAGGCTAAAACCAGAGATGTCACCTTTGCAGGGACTGAAATTCATCAAGACCCTTGGTGTCAGGCCACACTCAGGTTTTCCATTGGTGGATCCAGTCTGCATATTTGAGCAATCCTCCTTGAAGTGGAATGTGGCTATTGGCGAAAGAAAGCAAAATCAGGGGCGCCTGGGTGGCGCAGTCGGTTAA